GGGTCTCATACAACAACCCCTACAGGTGTGCGATGGATTATATCATACTGAAGGAAACTGTACTCTATGGACATTACCTTCCAAGAGGAGATTTTTATTTCTGCCTGTGTGCTTAATCCATATGCTTTGTTGTCAGGGAATATTTATGTTAGTTATAATGCACCCTACATCCTATAATGATCCTGTGTATCTTGTTACTTGTAGTGACTGCTATCTGTAACAATATATTAACTGGACAAGTTGGAAATCTAATCCAAATATCACATTCTTGATACTGAAATGACCAGTAGCCACTTGGGTTCCGGTTGCCAGAAACCCTAGGAGTCGCTGCATCACTTGAAACACCAACCGAAAGACTTATACTATGGTTGACTGCAGACATTGTTATTTTCGCCATTATCATCTCTCTGCAGCTACTGATGCTGCTGCCCTGCATGAGTGGGTACAAGCCTGAGAATCTGCAAAACTTTCAGAAAGTTTACGAAAACTTGGGAAACCCAAATCCACGTTAACAAAGAAATCTTAGGCAAAATGCAACAGTTAAAAGGTGCTATTATTTAGTTGGGTGAACAGGCTTTGCCAAAATTAGTTATGCATATTCTGCTAAAAAAAAAAAAGGTGGGGGGATGTTGCCCTAAAGGGAGCTGGAGTTCTCTGAGAGCACCTGTTTACTCTGCATACAGAGTTCCAGGAGGCTTAAAATTCTACAATCAGAACTTCCCAGAATTGACTCCTGTTCTCTGAGGATATATTAGCTGTGCACGTATTCCCTACAAACTGGAAAAACTTATCCCATCAGTAACCTATTAATCGGTATAGGCATAAACACAATTGTGTGCTATTTTCTTGTTCCTTTGTTCATATATTTAATAAAAGCTTGGACTGAGAGAGTGACAAGCATTGCTGCTCTCCATGGCGCTCTCTCCAGCCTCCCCCTGCTGCAAATTCATGTAGACACCAAGTCTTTGTTAAATCTAAGAACTTCATCGGCTGTCTGGCTCTCTGCAGCATGCATGCAACTGGCCTGACCTGGATTTCCATCGTGGGTCTCTTGCTTCGCCACAGAAATACAGAAAGGGGGAGACTCTTCCGGGGCAAACTGCAGCAGGCCTTCAGCAGGTCTCCCAGCACTGCCAGTTCTGAATGCTCAGTGAAAAGGTGCCTCATTCAAGCATTATTTTGGAGCAGAACAACCTTCCAAACAACATCCAGGCAAGGAGATCCTGGGAGGGGCTTACTCGACACCCACTATGTCCCAGCGCCTGGAGAAAGCTGCCTCTTTCTTTACCCATCAGTATAATGGACCAAGTTACATGGATCTTCAGGAGCTGAGTGTTTAAGAGCATGGCTAGTAGGCTTTTTTGGTAATGTTTTGCTCAAAGATCATAACAGCAACCCCTGTGCAGGGACCAATGTGTCAAAGCTGGCCAAATTTTCATGTTGGTGGAGGGGGTTATGCGGCTGTCTTATTTCTCCATGTTGCTGGTAGCAATTTGCTTCCCCAGGCGCTCTGAGCTTACCCCTCTGACTCTTGGATCCCAGGCTCCTCTTCACTCTGTCCTCAAGCCACAGGCATCAGCTCATCCCTTGCCCTGTCTTCTCCTGCACCACTTCTAGAATCTCCACTTTCCCCTGCCAGTTCAAACTATGTGACATCTCTGGCCCTCAGTCCTCATTTTTCTTGGCCTGAAAGTCATGGCCAAGCCAACTGGCATGAATTTGGGTGTGGAATATTGTAGCTGCAGGGTTAAGGGAGCTATAAGAAAAAAATCACTCACGTCCCTAAATTTATTTATTTATTTAAAGATTTATTTACTTATGCATACAAGAACTGGGGCGTAGGCCAGAGGTGTGTATATGTGTGGAGGTGAGAGGCTTCACTAGAGACAGAGTGGGGAATGGAACAGGCAGATCTACTGAAATACACTGCTGAGGAGAAGTCTGCTGTGTCATGGGGGTCACCTCCCTGGAGGGGAACGAACCCATGCTGTAGTGGCTGCTGATAGGTTGATAGAATTGAGACTTCAACCCTCATGCCACCAGGGAACCTCCCTCAATTTAGATTTGGAGCACATCAGAGCCTCAGCTCTAGAAACATAAATGTGAGTAGGTGGCCTGAGACGTTCGCTGGCACCTGCCGTCTCTGTTCCCCTTCACAGTCTGCTATGTGGACATGGAGAAGTGGACCACCAGCTTGGGCACTTAAGCCCTTACTTAGTTTCCTGGGAGAAATTTACTGAACTTTCCTGAGTTTCTGAGTTCAGTATGTACAATGGAGCAAAGAGAACTCACTGTTCCAGTGACCTTCAGGAATGTGGTGCTATGGGAAGACATAGCAGAGATGGGAGATGATATTTGAGTAATTTGGAGTTATTTACAAGAAGGCTACACAATCAAAGCAAGCTATGATCAAGGAGAATCAGATCCTCTGAGATACCATCAGGAATTGCATGAAGTAAATTGTTTACTAGTTTCATAAAATCCTGCATTGTTCCCACAGGCATCCCCGGGTAGGCAGCAGGCTGCCACGAAGAAGGCTGGCAGTGCCCTCTAGAGGAATCCCTAAGCATTGCTGGGACCCTGCTAGATGGAAGGATTTGCCAAGGTTACCCAGCAGAAGCCCTGGAATGCAGTCACAGAAATAGGTTAGGGGGTAGGGGGAGGGGTAAAAATTGTGCTTGGGGACTGGAAAGGATGCTACAGGCTTTGAGGGAGGGTTGGGAGTGGGGTGATGAGGGGATCCTGAGGCAGGGTGCCATGCACTAGATCCTGGACAGCTGGGGGCCTTAAAAAGGCACTGGGGACTGAGCATGACATGGTCACCTGGCCAACCCCCTTTCCCATCCCTGGGCTTAGGCTCCAGGGGGATACAGGAAGACATCCTTCATCAAGGAATGTGGAGAAAAAAAAAACAGTGAGACAGATGTAAAGGGAGAAACAGAAAAGGAGAGACAGAGACACAAGAAGATCAAGATTTGGGGAGAAGACACAATGAAGAGTAAGGCAACAGAGAGAGAGGAGAGAAGAAAGGAATAGGTGGGAGGAAGATGTGTTTGATTAATTGGTATTTGTGAGTTTCTTGGGATCACAGCTTTTCTTCCAAGTAACCTAGCAGACCCCAATGCTTCTGTTAAGAATCCAAGACAAGATTTGTGAACGGGCTCAGTCAGGGTAATTTCTCCTGCACACAGAGCTTTTCAGCAACACAGAGCCAACTGTGAAAAACCATCTCCTCCCTGAAGTCAGAACTCTGAAAGTTTGGGTTTGGTTCTCTCTGCCTTCTGAGGTGTTCAGTGCAGAACTGACTTCTTGCTCTTGGTTTTCCCGTCCTCCAGAGCCATTCTGACAACAACCATCCTGAAGTTAGTTGTTGGCACGATCTGACAACTCATCTTCCTCAGCAGCAGAGTCCAAGACTGGAGGGCAGTTCTGGCGAGTTCAAAGGTCCTGGGAGCCTCTATCAGTCAGATGGCCAGAGTCTGGTCTGTTCCCCAAAATTATTACTACACTATTCTACAAAAGGGGAAGTGCTTACAAGGATCCTTTCTCTTTAGGGCTGGTATAAGAAAAAAGGATCCAGCGTTCTAGGACTCTAAACAAGCCTCAAACACTACAGAACTCAGGACCTCAGTGGACCCAGCAGGACACTTGCAGAACACTCAACCATTTTTTAATAGCAGAGCCCAAGCCAGAAGCACGCCCGAAGTCACAGCCCGTAGAGAAAACTGCGACCCAATCTTGTTTCTCTCCTCCGGCAGGAAGATTGTAGACCTTCTTCCCTCTTCCCTGACCCCCAAACAAAGTGATAGGAAACATTCTGGGGTGTCACACTTTCCTTCCCTGGAAGTCTTCCTGCAGGTCTGTGCCAGCTGTTCCTTGCGGGCCATCCATGGGTGAAGGCGATCGCTTCTCTGAGGCTCGTGAAGGGACAGAGAACACTAACAAAGAGCCCAGATAAACACTGGTTAAGATCCACTTCTTTTAGAAAAGCTTCCGAGCCCAATCCTACCCAATATTTGGGCACTCAAATACCCTCACATTTTTGAAACTTGCCCATATTATTCCCTGAGTTTGCTGCTTGGCCAATTCTTCTAGTGTCTCTTCCTCTGAGGTGAGAACTAGATTTTTTTCTCCCTTCTCTCCACCCACACTGGCCCCTGTTGCTTTGCCCAAGCCTGTCACTGCTCTCAGCAGCCTGGCCTCAGCTTTGTGAAGAGGACACCACACTGTCAGGATGGGAAATAGACTACCTGTTCCCATGCCATCATCTCGACTGGCCCGGGTGGGTTGCCCCCCTTGGAACTTACCCACGTCCTTACCTCTTACCTTTAACTTATTCTGTGAATCCATACAGGTCTTGCCTGTCTCTGGGGTTCTGTTATACTATCTATAAAATGATTACAATTCCAGCCTTCCCCAGCTTGGTCACAATCTGTTCGGGGAATCAACAGCTTGCATTTTGTCCTCATTCGTTGAAACTAAGAAGGATTCGGAGGAAAGTATTTTAAAAAACAAATTTCTCTTCTATTGTGCTTCTACAGCTGGGTGGGGGAGGGGTGCTTACTTCCTAAGGAATAGGGGTGGGAGAGGGAAAAGGTGGTCAGGGCCAAGGCAACTAGGAGTGAGGGTAGTGTTGAGGCAGACTTGGAAAGAGCTCTGGGAGATTGCATCTAGGGTTTGCACCCTGGTCCCCTCACCGGGCCCCCACTACCATGGCTCCTGACACTTGTCACACATCCCACACCAAATAGACCCAAGGATCAGTTGGGGGCATCTAGGATGTCTCCTTTTTATTTCCATCCCCAAAACCACATTTCCAGATGTCTCTGCAGCAATGTGAATTGCCACAAAGGCAAGCCTGAGGGGAACAAAGGGGGGGGGGAAGCAAATGAAACAATTGGCAGTGAAAGGCAGAAAGGGAAGATGGAGCCCTCAGAGAAGGGAGTATCCCTGAGGAGGTGGGGACGAGGGGAGGAGAAGGGGAGGAGGAGAGGAGGAGGAAAGCGGGCCTGTCCCTTTAAGGGGGTTGGCTGTCAATCAGAAAGCCCTTTTCATTGCAGGAGAAGAGGACAAAGATACTCAGAGAGAAAAAGTAAAAGACTGAAGAAGGAGACTGGAGAGACCAGGATCCTTCCAGCTGAACAAAGTCAGCCGAAAAGCAGACTAGCCAGCCGGCTACAATTGGAGTCACAGTCCCAAAGACATGGGTGAGTTTCTAAAACTTTATACCATGGAAGATTCTAGCAAGCACAGGATTTGCAAAAGCATTTCCAACTTTGGGGTTCGGGATTTCCAATGGTTCCAATGAGTTGTGTTTTGGCCCTTGTTTTCTTTTTAATTCCTTAGCATTCAATTAGATGAATTCCTTCTCTATGTACTGAGAATGATGCTTTATGGCCAAAGAATTCCAGCAGCAGCAACAGCAGCAGCAGCAGCAGCAGCACGTGGAGAGTCCCACAGATCCTTGGGGCAAGTGCCACAGATCCCCTGGACGTAGTCATGTGTCTCCTTACCCCTTCGCTTGCCTCTACCTTCTCTTTCCCCCCTGGTTCCAGGCCCTGGAAGTGGCAGGGTCAGTTGACATCCCTGGTTCTGTTGGAGGCAACTGAGTATTGGCTAGCCTGTAGTTATACAAAGTAACTGCTTGTTTGGTGCAGAATTCGGAACTTGTTTGGCATCAGTAGGAAGTTGGGAAATTAGGCAAGATGGACTCAAGCTTGGCCATGGCTGAGGAGGTCAATCTCAGGTTCAGGAAATTAAACTAAGTTCTTCATGGCCTTTCCTTGGGGGACAGACATTGGTCGGGGTGTTTGTGTTTGTGTGTGTGTGTGTGTGTGTGTGCGCGCGCGCACATGCTCATACATGGGTGACTTTATCTAATACATGTCAGAGACTTAACCTTCCCAAGGGCACGGCTTAGATTCTAAATCTCTGCTGTGACAAAGAGGAACATTAGGGTTCTTGCTGACTTGGTTGAGTATTGAGGGCTTCTCTGGGTTCCATGAACAAAGAAAAAAGCTATGAGCTTCTGGTAGTGTCTACTCACTGCAAGCTGTGCAGAGCACAAGGGATTTTGTCAACACAGGATGTCACAGGGATGTGTAGATATTGCTCACATTGGCAAAACAAGGGTAGCAGCTTGAATGAAATAGGAATGGGAATCAATTGCCCTGTGTATTCACCATCCAATGCAGTCTCCAAAAGTCTCCAATAATATGTATGGAGCAAGGTTTTCAACTATATTGAGCTGATGTCAATCTTTTGGTTCTTTTATCCTGCAACACAGAGAGAGCTCTAATGCATGCATTCAGGTAGGAAAATTAAGAGGCAGAACATTGGAGTCAAAGTCAACATAACCAGGTTCAAATCCGAGACCTGCCACTTAAGACCTTTGTGATCTTGGGTAGGTTACTGTGAACGCCATCACTTCTTCATCTGGTACATGAGGATGACAATAACTGTTATGTTTACTTTTGAGGTTGTGAGACTCAAGCAATAATGATATGGAAGTCCTTTGAAAATGGGCACAATCTCAGAACAATTGTACCTTGTCATAACACTGATATCATAATGTGTGTCCAGACTGACTTACTGTTCCCAAAGTGGCTGAGTTTTCTCCTTGTGCATTTGAATAAGAATCATTTGACCACTGAGGTATGACCAGGTGATAGGCGAGTGCTGGAAGAAGTCAATATCTGCTCCAAGTGACAGGAGGAGCCTCGCTTAATGTCAGGGTGTTTGGTGAATAGGTTGTAAATTCAAAATGTTTCAATGTTATTTCCTCTGGCAATGAAAAGCTTGAGGAAAAGTCAGGAATGCATAAGGTAACCACAGGAACCATTTCCTGTTATGGAGGCTGGATGATTTCTTCTTGGGCAGTTACAAAGTTGAGACCGGGTATCGGACCCCAGGCCCTTGGGGTGGGGGGTGTACTTGGGCCAGGCACACATGTTAGAGTATTCATTGAGTTTTCAGTTATTCAATAATAGCACATCTCAAAACTTTGTACATTGTGGATCTTTTCCTATAAAGAGCCAAGCTACTATTCCTTCTGACATAGAACACATGGCTGTTCAACAATCAGACAAATTATATTACGGAATCTGGGATTGGAAGGAACTTTCAAACTGTCTGAACAAATTCTCACTTCATGATTCCATTCCAGAAGAGTCAATGAAATGGATGTACAGCCTCTGTTTAATCACCTGCAGGAACAGGAAGGTCACTGTCTCAACCATGTAGAATGCCTTAGGACTAGAAGTAGAGGAACTCTGAATTCAGTAGTATCCACACAAAAGGTTTATGGGTGAAATGATAGCTCATTAAACCTTATCCTGTCTGAGGGGAGGGTGATGCTGAGGGGAGATGTTCTGAAGGAGTCTTTGGGACAACAATGGAACCGGAAAAGAGCCAAAGAGCATTAGCTGATTATTCTCTGCTCAGTAACACAATGCCATTACTGAAAAAACATTGGCTCCTACAAGCCTGTTGTCTGAGAATAGTGGCTGTTACCCTGGTAACCAGGCTGTGATGCTTCCCACCAAAGGTGACTGTTTGCAGAGCAATGTAATTTTGGCTGGCTCGAGTAAGTGTGTATAGCCCAGGCAAAAAGTATGGCAAAGGTCTAGTTTTACAAAATTCCTCAAGACTAACTAAATCCCACCAAGATGGCAAGAATGCCACAGGATGCCAAAAGCTAAAAAGAAACCAGATCCAAGCCAGCATATTCATTTACTCTTTCTGGAGACACTGACTAAACTTACTCTTGCTTTGGTTCTGCGGAGCAGGAAGAAGTCTTAGAAAGCCAGGCAGACTGAAAGGTCTGCTGTGCTTTGAGAGGCTTTGTCATGACTCTGCTTTTGGAAAGAAATAAGTTTGCTCAGCATCCTGAAAACTAGAACTACTCTTGTCCAGCAACAAGAGACCTCCAAGGGATGGCTGGGTGGGGGAATGTAGTCTCCAAACCTATTGAGGTAGAGCCCCTGTCAATGGAGTCTTCATCCTTTGTTGTATTTTTGTGTATTGTCTTGAAGGCTTGCAGACCATTCCCAGGATTTTGTTCTTGGTCTTGAAAGACAGCATGAGTAGAAATGCATTCCTTACCCACAGAACTTCCAATCCAGAGAAAATCAAGTCAAGGCAGTGACATGATCAGGAAGGGACGGTTCACCTGGCAGGTGAACAGACCAGCTTTTATTTCTTCCCCACTGTCAGTGCCAAACTTATATCAGAAACTCAACAGGTATTGATTGATTCATTTCTCCTTGGCTATTTTTTAAAATTTTTTATTTATTTGTGCACACAGAACTGGGGTACAGGCCAGAGACTCAGGGGTGGTGAAAGACTTCACCATAGACAGAGCGGGGAGCAGAACAGGCAGATCGACGAAGTACACTGCTGAGGGGAGCAGCGGGAGTGTCAGGAGAGGTCTGTCACGCCATGTGGTCACCTCCAGGGAAGGTGGGAATCAAACTCATGAGGACGTGGTTTCAGCTTCTTAGTGCAATGCTTTAACCCACTGCGCCACCAGGGAGGGCCAGGCCATTTTTAAATTAAAAGGATCCTGGGGTGATCTCTCAGTTCTATACTGGCCTCTGAGCTCTTGCCAGGCAAGGCTCTGGAAAAGAGTCAGTGACATCCCTTGGAAGAGAACAGGGTTCACACAGCAACCAGAAAGGAGAAATTGTGGGATACCCACCCAAGGGATAAATTAGGGAGACTGCTATCTCTTAGTGCAGCACCACATGCTTCTCTTTAACTTTTCCATAAAAGTGCAGGGTGAACACATTGTGTCAGGCACAGAGGTCAACAATCAAGTTTCTTCTATCCCAGCCTCCCAATATTAGGGCATAAATTGATAGGGGTGTGTGTGTATGTGATGTGTTTGGGGAGGAGAGACTAGGAGATCCAGATGCTGTTACCATGGTAATAATACCTGTCTAAAGAGGAGACTGAGGTCGTTTTTTATTTAACTCTGTCCTCTGACTTGACCGTCCAGCAGACTTGGATTTCAACACCCTTGTGCTGCCAGGCCCCATCCAGCACTTGAATATGGGATCAGTAGTGATTTCATGTATGAAAGAAAAGTTCATAGGCAGGGCTTTGTCTCACTAGGATAAGGCCAGAAGCAAAAGTCTTTGTCCCCAGCACCTCCTGATAATTGTTGTTTTACTCCTAGAACCCACCCACTGTTCTCCATGCATCTCCAGTACCAGTCACGGCTGCACTAGCATCTTGGCCCCGTCAACTGCTATAGCCCCGATCAAGGCAGCCTCTGTTCATGGGGTGAGGTTAAGGGGTGGGTTCTGGGAGGAGGTTAAGACCATCCTGCAGATTTGAGACTTAGGGAGATGGGGCCAGTTTTCCACTCAATGAGCCTGCCTGTTGTTTAGCTCTATTGTATAGGGTTCTTCTATCTCTCCCTTTGTTAGCTGGATTCAAGGGACAGGCTGGGAATTGTGCAAGCACAATCGGTCTTTTTCTATCATCTCTTTCGATGAAAGCCTTTCCTCTCTTCCCTTTGATGACTTCCCAATTCACACTGAATTTCCATCATGGAGCTGGTCCTTGAGGCATGCCCAGGGTATGGGAAAGAAGGGAGGGCTTGGGAGGACTTGGCTCCTACTTAAGGAGAAAGCATCAGGGTCAGCAGAGTGCTGTGGGTGGATGTGGATCTCGACATGAGTCACAGCAGTGATGTAGATCTCTGTCAGACTTCTGTGAAGAGCATTGGTAAGAAGACTTGAAATTTTATCACATACTTATTTGACTAGTTTGGGGAGTTGGCTAGCTAACACTGACTATTTCTCCTCTACATACATTTTTCCCACAGTACTTAGTTTACGTATGTTTAACACCAGATTCAAAGTAACTTTCTATTTTGATTCCCAGATATAAGTGTTCTCCATGACAAGACTGAAAGATTGAAAGGCCTTTTCAATCTTTCAAAAAGGACTGGGCCTTATCGTTCCTTTTGTTTCTCACAGTGTCTAGGTTACTAGTAATGCACTTGATATTTCTACTGAAATCACATCACCAGAAGTGAAAGGAAAACACTGGAAGTGTCCTTCTTTTTATCTGTGACCTCCTATCAAAGTCAGGCAGTTTAATTCAGTTCCATTGTGTTGGGTACTGTCACTACAGAGTGATTTTATGCCAACTCTACCAAGTTACCGTCTGTACTCAGCTTGGCCCCTTACAGTCTGTCTGGATCAAATCAGTGCCCTTTCCATCATGAAGCATTCTGAAACGAGAGTCTGTGACTTTACGCTCTTGTTCACACATTCCCAAGAACGTTGCTTGGGCTTTGCAAAAACAAAGTGAATCTAATGAAGCTTTCTCTGAAAGCTTTGATTTTCAACTATGTGGCCCAAACCACAATTTCTTGCATGTTTTGAGTTTTCCCCAGTCAGAATGCAAAATTTGATTTTTTGCTTGGTTAGCCTGAGATTCTTTGGCTGAAATTAACTGTCCCCAAAACAAACATTTTAGTTCCATTTTGAAGACCTGGACATCTGTTGTTTATGTTGATATTGTCGAACTTTCCTAGCCCAAGAATAAAAGATTTATCCAGAGCCATTTACTTCCAATTCCATATAGGGACTCAATAAGGCTTATGTCCTTTTTAATCCCTTGTTTTGAGTGGCATTGAACAGAAAAGGAGTTGCTAAGTTAGTTGGGTTCAAAGAAAATCTATGAAAAAAGATGGAAGAGAAAGAGTATCAGGTGCTGGTTCAGAGTTGCTTCCAAGGCTTAGCCCTTATCAGCCAGTAAGAATGCTACATGTGACAATGGTCATTTGCATGATGATCAAGGGATAGATACACCAAAGAGGGTTTTCCCTCATCTTAACAGCTCAAGAGGGGCCATCAGCTAAAGCTTAAAGTGGAACTCTGGCTCACAAGAGTTCAAATTCCTCCATCCCTGATCATACCTGCACCACCATGTAGCCCCTTCCATACTGAACAACCCAGGGGGGAGTGAGTGGGCCCAGGATGGTCACTTGCTAGGGTGGATGACCTCCTTTACTCTGGGCCAAGAAAACAGTTCTGCTATTGTTCTCTGGGTCTGACCCCCTGTCCACCCCCAGGCCCGCAGGTCTCTGCAGAATACCAATGAGGCTCCTGAGATCTCTGGGGGGAAACAAGACTTCTTTGTCCAGGGGAGTTATGGAGGGCTCTGTCCAAGCTCTGCCACTGTGCTGCCGAGAGAGGGAACAGTGGGGGTCACTGACCTTCCCTTCCCCCCAGCTTCAGAGACCTTTACTAGAAGAGTCTAAAAGTTTGGGGGTGGAGAAGAGTTGGGGAGACAAAGAAGGAAAATGGTGTACTGTTTATTCCAAGCTCCCTTTCTTGACTTACAGGATGCATCTTACCTGGTGGAGAAAAAGGAAGATTACTTTTTTGAATGCTTTCCGAGAGCAAAACTCAATTTCAGCTGCTGTGTTTTTTTCCTCTGGTGTACACACGTGTGTGACACACATTTGCATGTATGTGGGACACACTTGTGTGTACACCTATGACACAAGTGTGCACGTGCACACACACCATACTAAACACATACAGCATAGGCCAGCTCTGACGAGACCTTCTTACTAAGCACTCTTGCGAAGTAAACTCTGCCTTTACTCCCAGCAACACCGCATCCATTGATTATACCCCAAAGAGACAAGCTTTTGTGAGAGCAGCACTGTGGTTCTTAGAAAAGGGAAGATACTCAGTTCTGCTTCATAGCTCAGTTACTTACTTTGCTTGGTCTGGGCTTTGAGTCACATCTCTGGTGTGGCATATAAGGATCTTTCAGGAAAAGGATCTTAGCCCGAGGAAGGGCTGTCATTTTAGGGGGAGATGGGTAATAGGACTCATTCTGTGGCTCTGAGTGTATAGACAAATGCCTCTGCCACAACTTTCCCATTATAGAGAGAATTTGGTCTTTCAAAATCTATTCACACTGATGCAGTTCAGCCATGTAAATCACCAGGTGTCCAAGCACCCAGAAACTATACTAATATTAAGTAGACTGGCCAAAGTGGATCAACCAAACGATTCCCTGGCACCCTGGTACTGACAAATGGGCTTGGGCTGAAAATCCAAATACCACAACTAACAGTGTATCTTCTATATACAAGGAACCACAACATGATTACTCTAAAATAACTTCTCAGCACATTTGTACTGGCCAATTAGTTGTGTATGCATATTAAATACATATGGATCATGTGTGTGCTATATGAATAGGTGTATACAATCAGCAAGTGTGCAAATGCACACATACATACATATATAGAAAATCCTTTTCTGAAGAGCCTAACATTTTCATTTCTTCCACCCTTTGTGGATCTGTTCAAGAGGCTAAAAGGGGACCAGCCTCTCCCCATCTAGCCAGCCATCTATTTGATATTTGCAAGTTTCCCTCCACGTGGCTCCTCCGTATGTGGAGCTAGTGCGTGGGGCAAAGCTTCTCCCATAGCCTGTGACTTCATATGCACCTTTCCTGTTTCTCAGCAACACTGGTGGGGAGCCTGTCATACCAGGTCTGGGGATGTCTCAGGGACCTTCTCACCTTAGACATCTGGTATGTTTTCATCACGCCAGAGAGAAGTTCTTTACTTTGCTGACTTTGTATGAGGTCTCTGTGGTTGTTTTGCCAGAACCTCACCGCGGGATCTGCGTGAGGACCTCAGCCAAGTTGCAGTATAGGGAGACAAATCAGTCATGGAAAATATCCTCCAAATCATTACTCTGGATTTTTATTATCATGAACAACAGTCATCCTCCCATTGCCCTGTCTTGTTCCATCTACCCCTTCAGACTGTTCTCCATGGTATCTAGACAAAGATGAGTCACATATTTCTTTTGGCAGATACACACAAAAGTTAGGAATATTCAGGGGCATACAATTTCCAACGTTACCTCTACTGAGAATGTTGTCCAAGTCTCAAATCCGGCCTCACAATAACAAGATGTCTGACCCGAATGCATCCCTTCCTGGAGGTGTATTCACACTCTGTATTCACTTACCTGACTACCTGGAATTTTTACATGAATATATTAGCTTGTTCTTCCTCAGTAAATGAAAGACTCCCATAAGGTAAGTGTCACCTTTGATGTCTTCATAGCCCACGTGGCATCTAGCACAATGCTGGGCACATAGAAGGCACCACAGTAGGAGTTGATGAATGACTGAATAAACCAGAATGATAGGAAAGGAGGGAATGAGGACATAATCTCTAGCTTTCCACTTGAATTACTGATGATTTAACAATCCCATAAGTTTTAGGAATTAAAGGTAAGGATTTATTGTCAAGAATGAAACAAGGTATGGTTTAGGAGTCAACCTCATAGTCCAGAAATTCAATGCTCTAGTCTCCTCTGCCTTTGGGCTCTGGGTGACCTCTTCATCCATGCATGTAAGCACACAGCCCGTGGGCTCTGGTAGGGAGTAACGGGGCACCTGGTGTCACCACTGACTGACTGCGTCTTCTCCTTCTTCCCCAGGCTTGTTAGAGTGCTGTGCAAGATGTCTCGTAGGGGCCCCCTTTGCTTCCCTGGTGGCCACTGGATTGTGTTTCTTTGGGGTGGCACTGTTCTGTGGCTGTGGACATGAAGCACTCACTGGCACAGAAAAGCTAATTGAGACCTATTTCTCCAAAAACTTCCAGGACTATGAGTATCTCATCAATGTGTAAGTACCTGTCCTCCACACAAATCCATGTTTTTCCTTCTCTTCATCCCAGAGATACAGAACTCATTAGTAACTTTGTGACTAGTAGGTGATTAGTGTAGAGTCAGAGAGGATTCCTGAATCTTCCCTCTGAAGAGATCCTACCTATACCACATCTAAAGTCCTAAAGGAGGGAAATGTCAATTTCAAATAGGAGTCTACCTGCCTGCCAGCCCACCCTTACGCCCAGCCCACCCTACACCCCGCCCCCCACCCTCTGCCCTCATTTTCTCCCACATGTTGTAGCTTGTGCCAGGTAGTGGGGGCTGAGCTGAGTCTCTGCAGTGGTAGGTACAAGGACTCGAGGGAGGCACAATGACTGAATTGAGTGAGGTTGCGGCTCTTGGTTGTGTCGAACCAAAGTTGAGCTTAAGTCTGCTCAGTCACAGTACTAAGCTTCTCTAGTTCGGAAATCAAGTTGGGCTTCTGTTCCTTCATCCCTCTTGTTTCTTGTTGAGTTCCTCTCTTCTGAGAAGCAACTCTGAAGAGTCAGACCAAAGAGAGAAAGGTCCCCATTCTTCAGGCGTGATGGAAGAGCACAAGCAACTGGCTACAGCCTCCTTGTCTTCCTTTACTTCAGTATAGATAAGGTGGGAGTTTGGAAAAGGAGCCTAGTGATTCCTAGACAAGCTTTAGCTCTATTTGGGTGCCCACTCAATTGTCTTCCTCTTATGCAGGAAAAGAACGGGGTCCTCAATTAATAATCTTCAGTGATCTCTTTTGTGTATCTGTTTACACAGGATCCATGCCTTCCAGTATGTCATCTATGGAACTGCCTCTTTCTTCTTCCTTTATGGGGCCCTCCTGCTGGCTGAGGGCTTCTACACCACCGGCGCAGTCAGGCAGATCTTTGGCGACTACAAGACCACCATCTGCGGCAAGGGCCTGAGTGCAACGGTAACAGGGGGCCAGAAGGGGAGGGGTTCCAGAGGCCAACATCAAGCTCATTCTTTGGAGCGGGTGTGTCATTGTTTGGGAAAATGGCTAGGACATCCCGACAAGGTGATCATCCTCAGGATTTTGTGGCAATAACAAGGGGTGGGGGACAATTGGGCGTGCGTCTGTGGCCTCACCCACACCCAAGGCTGGGTCCTCTCTAGAGGCCTGGCTTATGAGTGAGGAAGTGATGGCTACAGCCGAGCGAGGTCGGAAAGAACGTGGTGCCCAGCTGGCTTAGCCTCTGTTCAAAAGTTCCTAGAAACTATCGTATCAAAATGAAAAGCATGAGTCTTGCAGGATGCTTTGTACAATCAGACCATTTCTAAGCCATCTGTTGGTGCCCCTTGCTCCCTTTCTAGCAGGGGCCGCAAGAGTAGGTCTCACTGCCCAAGAGTCTAAGAGGTTCCTCATGGCATTGAGATGAAGGTGCTTGATCTGGGAGTGAGGCTGTATCATAGAAATGAAATCATTGACTCCAAGATGGAATTCACAATATTCTGGGGTCCCACCCTGTTGGGGATCCCGGAGGCAACCAGTGTATATCTGCATATTTAATGTTTTCATCTTTATCTGGGTCTAGCCATGCTTCTCATAGGCATGCACAGTCATTGGTTTTCAGTCTTTAAAGACCCTCAGGGGGCTAAATAGCTGGGGTCTGTGGTGATGTCTTTTGAAGCTAGTAGTTGGCTTAGAAAGGTTTTTAGATCTGAAATTTAAATTTCCCATTGGTGTTATTGAGGGGGCAGGGATCAAAAATCCCATGATAAGGAACGTTTTCTAAGCTCAGCCTAAGGCAAAAAATGGCACGACTTTCTTTCAGGATCTGTTTTTACTTCTTCACATCTTATCTGCCCAAAAAAAATCTCCTGAAGCCTCTCTAACCCAGGGATCCTTCTCACTCCAACCCCTACCCTCCCCTCTCCCCCCCACAAACCCTCTGTCACAGTTGGGGCCAGTTCTCTAGTAGTTACTGCCAACACGCTTGGCAGAGGCGCCCTGCTTACTAATTTCATTTGGTGGAGATCCCTGGATTCTGGCTCTTGTCTGACACACGCCACTCCAGGATCTCCTGATTTTTATTTCAACCACTGCAGGTCAATCACGATTTCTAACCACCCATTCAATTGTTTTAGTTTGTGGGCATCACCTATGCCCTGACCGTTGTGTGGCTCCTGGTGTTTGCCTGCTCTGCTGTGCCTGTGTACATTTACTTCAACACCTGGACCACCTGCCAGTCTATTGCTTCTCCCAGCAAGACCTCCGCCAGTATAGGCAGTCTCTGTGCTGATGCTAGAATGTACGGTGAGTCAGGACCTGGGGGCTTGGTCTCCTCTACCTGCTATGGAAGCACTCGATATTGGGTTCTTCACGTAGGGTAAGGAAGGTGATAATTGTGGGGAAATCGAAGGTTATGTTAATGTCACTCCACTGAAACTGGAGAGAGTTGTTCCCTGGGAAGGGAACTTCTTGGAAGTGGGTGGGAGTTTTCTTGGCTCTTCATACTGCTCTTCTCTAGTTGACTGCTGTTCCTAACCCAGGGGCAGCACATTTCAATAACAAGCTCAAGATTTCACAGCTGCTCAATATCATCTTCTAGTTTTCTGATCAATCTTTAGAAAAGTGGATCCAACTTTTCAGCCAACATGATTGAAAGTGGAGGAAGGGTTCTGAGGGAGGATTCCCACATGGCCCCAAGCTCCATGAAGCCTCACCCTCTTTGACTTGCGTGTCTTGCTTAGGTATTCTTCCATGGAATGCATTCCCTGGCAAGGTGTGTGGCTCCAACCTTCTGTCCATCTGCAAAACAGCTGAGGTGAGTGGGCTATTAAGTTATTTTACAGTGAGATGGCAAGACCATGCAAATCTCTACTGATAGCCATCGATTTTATGGATTACAGTTTGTCTTTTCTGAATTTTAAGTTAGCAGATTGCCTTCCACAAAATATTAGCTGAGTAGTCATAAGCCAAAGAACATAGTTGATAATATATCTCTTTTCCCTAGCGCCACATAGAAAGCCTTCCATTCCAGAAATTCCTCTCCTAAAAGGGAAATTTATAGCTTTAGGTAACAATAAAGCTTAATGGCAAAATGCCCCCAAAGAAACATTTCATTCTTTTAGTTAAAAATCTTATCAAGAAAAATGGGTTGTGCACAGAGACAGTCGTTGGCTTTAAAAACAAACAAACAAACAAACAAACAAACAAAAAACAAAACACTTCCAATTGGAACTTCTTAATTGTTAATGAGAAATTAAAAAAAAGTACATTTGGGGCCCTCCCTGGGGCCCTCCCTGGTGGCGCAATGGATTAAATCACAGCACTATGAAGCTGTTCGCAGCCACTACAGCACTAGTTCAATCCCAGGTGTACGGGGATTGAACATTCTGGCAGCACAAGTTCGATCACATGGTGTGGCAGACCTCTCCTGACCCACCCGCTGCTCCCCTCAGCAGTGTATTTCAGTCAATGTGCCTTTTCTGCTTCCCGCTCCATCTCTGGTGAATCCTCTCACCTCCCACATCTCTGGCCTGCACCCCAGTTCTTGTATGCATAATTAAGTCTTTAAAAATAAAGTACATTTCATGAAGGAAAACATGAGAATGGACATTATGCACATATGAGGCAAAATAATGAAAATAAATCTTGAGGAGGAAGGTAGTCAACCATTTCTTTGAAAGCACAAAGGTGACCTAAAATTTGGGGATCCTGAGCACAATTACAGAGAATCAGTGGATTATTTGGGAGCACCATCCTATTTTATGTGTACTCTGTTTTGGGTACTATAGGGCTAGGTGCTATGGTACTAATTGAAGAATGGGGGGCAATGTACACTTGGGGATGCGACAACTTAGAGCTATGGACTTAACACACAGAGAGCTATCGACACGCAGAATGCTGCTTTCATGATCTACAGAAGAGCATATTTTTGCTGTTGCAAGAAATAGTTCTCCCTCTTGTGTTTTCTTATAGTTCCAAATGACCTTCCACCTGTTTATTGCTGCATTTGTGGGGGCTGCAGCCACATTGGTTTCCCTGGTGAGTTGTCTTTGATAGTTTTGGCAAATTAATAGTCCTACAGTAGGGTGGGCAAAGTTTTCCTGAGAAGCAGAAAGACAGACACCTTTTAACCTTGACATGATGGAGAGAAGCTGTTGAGAAGAGACAGCCAAGTGTAGACATCATGTCTATTTTGGATTGACAAGGCAAAAGAATTTCAGAAATTAGACAGGCACAAGAAAAATGGAGTGCAGCAAGAGGAGGTAAGAGATCCAGAGTCAAGTATGATGATATTTAGCACTTATGGAGCATGTCCTATGCCAAATGCTTTGCAGTCATAAATTACAGTTAATTCTCAGCATACCCCGCCCAGATCAGTGACATGAACATGAAACACTACTAAACATGATTTTCTGTAGCCTGAAATTCTATATTCTGAGAACATGAATCCACACTCCAAGGGATTTACTCACTCTCTGGAAAACCCGGAAGGCCCTCCTACCAAAATTGTTGTTACTAGTATGCACTTCTGTGTCCCCGGCTGACAGTGCTGCAGTCCAGCATCAATACAGTGCATTCATGGTTCAGATCCAAAATCCAGGCACTGAAGGGTGAAGCAATTTGTCTGCGGTCATCGCATGAGTGGTGAAAAGACCATTCTATGCCTGCAGTACTACTTGCCCTGGCTGCCGGCTGCCGAGGCTTTTATAGAGTTGAGCCATTTCCGGCAATAACTGGATGCATTGAGCAGGGAGGACTGTGCTGCATGGCGTGGCTATGCGTCTGTGGCAAGCAGGCTCCAGGCCACTCAGACGTGTGGCTATGAGCGTGACAGAGCCCATGTATCGCACACTTCCCTGAGGAAAGCTCAGAGATGGGCTTAGCACAGGTGTGGGGGAAAAAACATTTGTCCAGTTGATTTTGTAGGTCTGGGTTGTTGGAAGGAAATGTCTGGCAGAGACTCCTCGTTAAGGCTGGAGGGCGAAAGCCTAGGAGGTGCTGCTTTTTGTAGAGCCGGAGTTGTTCCTTTCATTAGCTATGATGTGATTCCTAACCTTCCTCATTCCCAAGAAGATTGGAGAGGGGAAGCGCCCTTTCCTGCTCTCACTCATATTCTCTCTTCTGTTCCCTACAGCTCACCTTCATGATTGCTGCCACTTACAACTTCGCCGTTCTTAAACTCATGGGCCGAGGCACCAAGTTCTGATCTCCTGTAGAAATTCCCCTTTCTCTAATAGCGACGCTCTAACAGCCCAGCCTACAATGCTGCGTCTCCCACGTTAACTCTTTGCCTTTGCCACTGAATGGCCCTTTTCTTACTTGATGAGTGTAACAAGAAAGGAGAGTCTCGAGAGGACCCAGGTCTCTTGGTGAACTCTCCCCTCTTATGTACCTCTTTTAGACATTTTGCTTCACAGCTGGTTCCTGCTAGAAATGGGAAATGCTTAAGGTGGTGACTCCCCAACTGCAAGTCACAAAGCAATGGAGGCTCTAATTCAATTGGCAACCAGGAAGCGTGTTCTTCTCAAAGGGCACTGCCACCGGTGGAAAGAAAGATGCTCAGGTAGAGGGAAGGGAGGTACCAGTTCCCCTGCCATCTAGAAGGGCCAGCTCTAGTCTCCTTGGTGTACAAAGCAGAGGACTCATTCCTGTCTCCCTGTTACCACTGAAGAAAAAAAGAATGCCAGCGAAATAATAAGAGCATTTACGCAAACCTCCCTGTTGCAGCTGGGAAAAGGGGGTCAAAGCAAGGATCTTTCACCCGTAGAGAGAGAGCACTGACCCCAATGGCGATGGGTAATTAAGGCCCTAACTCAGCCCACCTTACTTACAGCATAGGAGAGCGCAGTGTCTGTGTAGACAAAGGGCACCTGGCCACGCACCTTGTTAGAGAAGAGAGAAAGGGTGTTGTCAGCATCTTCTCACTCCCTTCTCCTTGATAACAGCTACCATGACAACCCTGTGGTTTCCAAGGAGCTGAGAATAGAGAGAAACTAGCTCAGATGAAAAAAGACTGGCCACAGAGAGGCAGTCGCTGTGGCTAGCGGTGTAAACTGGGCCAGCCCTTTGGTAGACACAGGACTGATAACCCTTTGGATAGCATGTCTTTCTTTTCTGTTACTTCGTTGTGTTCTCTGGCCTCTGTCATATCTTCACAATGGTGCTCTTTTCAGGGGGTAGGTCCATTCAGTAGTCATCATAAATGATTTGAAGATCTTGATTAGTTTCAGAACAATGCGCATTTCATATTTTCCAGTTTGCTTACTACTTGTTTAGGGTGGTCCCAGAAAGGTTGGGAGAATGATTCTTTATGATTCTTTTTAACAAATGGAAGTTGGACATTAAGCATCACAAATGCTGTTTAAAATGTACTCATTCTGTACCTCTATTTGGATTGTCTACAAAATTATTTTGCAGAAACAAATTTTGGTGAATTCGAACCACAGTTGGAATGACCTGCTTGTCCTTTTCAGCTAGTGAGAGATGGTTTGAGCTAGCAATGTTACCTAAGCATGTTAAAGAGTCAGGTTTAACACTCCAGTTTTTCTCTCCTGCTGTAGATCACATTACCAGACACACCAGCCGTCAGCTATTTAGCTAAGATCCCACAGCAAAGCAAAGGTGGAAGAGTTTGAAACCAGAATAGCTTCTGGGTTTCAGTCTTCTCTTTCTGTGCTTGTTAACTCTGGGTTAAAAAATAAAAGGCTGATTGGTGAAGGAAAACATTTTATAGGTGTGACTGTAGGAGGGTCTATTGTTTTAAAGAGTTGTTTTTGCTCCCCCTACCATCCGCCCCCAAGTGGCTTCAGCAATATTTAAGGAGATGTAATATCTTTGCAGAGACACTTGATATTTGCTTTCAGACCAGTATACAAGAGAGTCTTCCAGGCTGCGTAGAGGGAGGAGATGGAAAAGGTTCTGTAAGAAACCAATCAAGATCAAGGAAAGTGAAGTACTCCATATCTTGTGTTTTGTTTTGATTTAATAACATAACCAATAACCTTCCTTGAAAACCTCCCATGCATACGGACACATATACACATGAAGAGAGTTAATCAACTGAAAGTGTTTCCTTCATTTCTGATATAGAATTTCAATTTTAACACACATAAAGGATAAACGTTTAGAACTTATCTTACAAAATGTATTTTATAAAATTAAAGAAAATAAAATTAAGAATGTTCTCAATCAAACATCGTGTCCTTTGAGTAAATTCTTCCTTTCAATCCCATGAAAGAAGTTCCAGTAATAGTAACTGTCTCATGTTTTGTGCAAGGTGCTTATTTATTTCTTCAGATCAAGTCATTTTCACAATTTTCTGAGATAAAGAGAAGATAAATCGCTCCTATTTTATAGCTGTAGACATGAAGAAACAGAGGCAGAGAAAGTTACCCAAAGCAACCCAGTAAGGACCAATCTCAGCTAGAATTTGAACTCAGGAACTGATGCCCATCTGTTGCCTGTTTTAAAGTGTCCTCTCTCTTACACATTGAGTATTCTGCAAATCCAGAGTCAAATAATTACTTGTTCAATGTCACAATGGTGCCCAGCACAGTGTGTTTAGGATAAAGTTACTGTCACCTTTCGTTTGCAATGTTTGGACATTGCAGAGTGAGCACTAGTGCTGCATAATGGATTAGTGCTTCGTTTTATCTGGACAAAAGGATAATAATGTAGGGGCAGAGCCGAGGGGGTAAGGGCCGTGTAAACTTAACCAGGCTGTGACACGGCACTATTGCATAGTGACACTGCTACCGGGGATGGCCAGCCCACTAGCCCACCAGGGACACAGCATCAGATAGATCCCTGTTATAAACCTCAGCTAGACATCGGCACTGTCGCCCAGCACTCCAGCTGCCAGCCGAAAGGAGGCTGACTTCAAATTAGCTGTAGATTCATGAACCTGTAGTTGCAGCTGGCATGGAGCATAATTGGAGAGAAAGGAGAATTTCGCTGGGGGCAACGAGTCAGTCACCATTCAAGGCGTTCTGTTCAGAAGCAGTTTCAATTGAACCTCCTGATTTCTGCTTCACTGCAATTAATATTCTTCAAGCAAGTCTGGTTGGGTGACTTTAAGACAAAAAGAATAAAACTATGACAAGGACTTATTTTTAGATACTGGCAAACAAGGACACAGCACCATATTTTGGAGAATTGATTCAGGGTGCTATAGAGTGAATGTATTTTTGCCTCAGAGGAGCGGAAAGCCAGTTCCCAAGAAAGCTGTGTTCTCCATCTGCCCTTATTTGGCTCTGCCCTCTGGGACGGATCTATAGATGGAGTTTCCAGGCTCTCAGAAGCTGAGAGCATCTCCAGTCTATCAATTGAGCCCATTGTTCTTAATGCTCCCACACACCATGAACCTCCTTTCTCTGAACTAAAAGAGCTCTCTTTGTGCTTAGATCAGCCAAAGATCAAGCTGTAGCGGTATAAACAAGAAACATTTTCTTACAGCGTCACTTGTATTGCTTTTCCTCTCCTCAGGAGCAGTACTGGGAGCAGTTTTACAAGGTGTAGAAGTTGAAGCTCTGTCCAGAGCAACATTCGTTCGTTCATTAATTCAGGCTACAAATATTCACTGAGCTCTGACTAAGCTTGTCCTAATCCCTGAGATTTTCAGGTTTGGGGACAGTGTGGGCAGAGAGGTGCTTAGACATGATCTTATACTCAAGGCTGGCACTCAGCCTCAAGGAAAGCAGCGAGACCTCCCAGAGTGGGGTGGAGTGGAGGCAGAAGGAGCAATGTGACCAGCTGACTGCCATGGGCATCTGAATTCCCCGCTCAGTATGTGGGAGAAGTGGTGGTGAAGGGCCATGCTTCACAAGGCTCTGGCTTTCTAGGGCCTCAGTAAAAACAAAACTCCAATTTAGAGTCTTGGCAACTTGTGACTGGCCCTATCTATGTCACCCTGCTTCTTGCCTTACATGTGACAGTGTTTATGCACACACTGTTACAATGCATGTGCATGCTTCACCCACTCAGTCATCTAGGGGGTCAGAGGGCACATAGACCAGGATTTATATAAACACAGGCTATTCAGCACGGCATTTTCTTTCAACCAATCAAAATCTGAAAAGCCAAGGAAGGGTGGTAGAAGCCACAAGTGACTTCTCTCTTGGAATTTCTGTACTGTGAGCACCAACAGTGTGTCTATGCTGAGATTAAGTAACAAGATAGAAGACATATTCATTCTTACATTCTGCCACCAATAGGCAGGTAAAGAATTCAAGTCAATATCTAAAAACTGGAAAAGATTTTTCTTGTTCATCCACTTTCTTTGAAACAAGTGATCATGCTCTTCAAAATGTTCACTGTGCTGTAAAGCTTGGTACCTGGTACTCCTTGAACTGAACTACTTTATTCTTAAGGAGAGAAAAAAAAAAAGAAGATACAGTAATGAGTATTTCCCAAAGAGAAAACCACCAAAGGGAAATCCAACCTTAACATTTTATTTAACTCTTCAACAAATATTTAACACATTCTCTGAGTGAAGTGGTCTACCACATGCTGATAATGTGTCGGGATAAAACAAGTCTCTGTGCTCCTTGAGCACAGTTGAAGACAAAAAACAAACAAACAAACAAAAAAACAAAACAAAGCAAAACAAAAAAAAAAAAACAAAAAACAGGAAGAGGGCCAGGAAGTATGTTAGATAATTAGACAGATATCCTTTGCCAGAAAGGTAGAATCAGAGAGAAACTTGTATAGTCCCATGAAAAACAAAGAGTCAAGTAAAACAAGAGGAAGGCATGCAAGTCTCCATGTAAGAGTAAGTGGCCAGCTGTGCTGTGGTGTTTTAGGGCTGGGAAACATTAAATGGCCCTTGCAACAACATGGATGGAGCTAGAGGGGATGATACTAAGTGAAATAAGCCAGGAGGAAAAAGATAATTATCTGAATTTCAGTTACAGGTGGAATGTGGGGAAATGGAACAAAGGGTCAGAAAAAAGAATCTGCAGGCTGACCATAGATCTGAAGCAATTAGCAGGGGTGGGGGAGGGAGAAGGGTTAACACAAAGGAGGGAAGAGCACAGGAGACTATGGTGATGATCACAAGATTGATACAAGTCAATAAGGGGCACTAAAACTGACCAAAAACACTGCCCAAATATCACTGTCTGAGTTCTTCACCCACCTGCACAATTACAAGTCTACTCAGGTGCAAAGAACAACAACCGTGGGATTTATTTAACAAACCAGGGAGAAAAAAAGAGTTACTGAGTTCAAAAGTGACCATTTATTTCACCTGAAGCAGTGTCCAGTGTTTTTAAGGTCCTAAACATAAACACTCCAAAGTCGGCATTTTCCCACCACTAAGGACGCAGAGCTCCTCTCCTGAACAATAGGCCGCGATGCCAAGATGGCATCTTCCCTTCAGTGTGGACCTGGAGCACTTGGCAGCCAGATTATAGGCTGGGTTCCAACTCACAGACAAGAGAAGACACAACAGGAGATGCTCCCCGGAGATACCCCAGCACAGCACCACACAAGCAACACTCAAAACAGTAGCTGCAGCAACTAAACAATCCAACGCTCACAGCTCCTCGAGGCACCTGCTCCAGGCCTTCGCCTTCTCTGCCAGGCTGTAACAGAAGCAAAGCTGGGAACAGTTTCAGTCGCTGAGCCACCTGCAAAGCCTCAGAACATTTCCTGAGATTGGCTGCTGGAAGCCTCTCTAAATGCTTCAGAGACTCACAATTGCCTTCTGGAAGATGACATGATGGGGGCAGAAATCACTGACCTCAGAATTGCTGAAGATGGGAAAACACTGTATCCTGAACACTGAACCCTGGGTTCTGTGATCCTTTATATCTCTTTTTTATTAAATTAATTTAACATTTTAATTGAAGTTCTATTAAGACCCCCCCATCAGGCATTGCCACCATAGTGCTGCACCCACCAGCAAACCATACATGGTCCTCCACCATTGTCCATTGTGCTTGCTTCCTTCTTAGTTCTTTGTTCTTTTTTTAAATTTATTATTTAAATTTATGTTTTATTTTTTAATTTATTTTTTAAATTTTATATATTTTTTACATCATTTTTCATTTTCATACATTGGATGCTTTATCTACTCATGTTTGGTCCCCAAGGAGTTCCCATCACCAGTTTACCTGTGCGCCATCACCGTAGTCCCTTGTGCGCTTCCTTATATTTCTTATCAGTATTCACCCCAAAATGGGGTACTTTGCTTGAATTTTCCCTGGGGCTCTCAGCACCCCTTCCAGGAGGTGTCACCTGTAATAGTCTTTGGCTGCAGCCACAGGTTACACTATGGTGGGGGGAAAACGTTAGAGGGGAGAAATCAAATACTGTCCAGAAGTGAACAATGGTGTAAGAAAATAAACACATTTAGTTATAAAAATTAAAAAATATTGAATTCCCTTCCACAGCTTTGCTTACCAACATGAGCAGGTAGCAACCCTGGGCTCCGAAGGCGCTAGCTTCGTTGGTAGCCTACATGTTAGTGTATTGTATGATGTTATTTTCAAACATGAAAGGGAAAGTCACAAAGCTGAATTCTGAGGACTCTAATGCAAAACCAAACAAATCACCTGATATTTGAAAATGTGAGATGACTTTAATTCTACTTGAAGACATGAGCTCACATGTAGAGGAACAAAAAGAAGGGAAGTGGGACCCTGTGAACAATGCTCTTTTGCAGACCAAACTTAGGAATTTGGTGAAATTTCATTTGATTTGAAATCTGAAATCAGCCCTCATTGACAAAGATCTGAACAGCAACATAAGCAGTCTTCTATATGTCTATGATCTTCTCGTCACCAACTAGGAGACCATTCATCCTCTAGTCATCGCCACATATTTTTTAAAGATTTATTTATTTATGCACACAGTACTGGGGTACAAGCCAGAGGAGCAGGGGTGGTGAGAGGCTTCACCAGAGACAGAGTGGGGAGCAGAACAGGCAGATCGACTCCGAAGTACACTGCTGAGGGGAGAAGTGGGCCAGGCAGGAGAGGTCTGCTGAGCTGTGTGGGTCACCTCCGGGGCCCGGGATGGAACACAAGCTGAAGCGGCTGTGGCTAGCTTCTTAGTGCTGAGCTTTAACCCATTTCGCCACCAGGGAGGGCCCGTCACCACTTATTTTTGATGGTGCAACCCTATCAGATCCAATTCTTTCTTCTCCATGTCTTTGCTGCTCAAATGTTCTGAGGAATAAAGCAGTAAATCC